TCTTAAGTAATCTTTCATAGTATTTTTATATTTCATTAGTATACCTTTTTGATTTTTTTTAATATCAGTTTCAATTTCATATATTGGAGATGGATTTTTAGCTTTCTTTCTACCACTAATTTCACCAGTTAACTGTTTTATATCACCTTTTAATTCTTCTAAAGTTTGTTCTAAATCTTGAGGATTAATTTCAAAAAAATCAATTGGTCTTGGGTATCCAAATTCTTTTAATATACCTAGATCATGCCCATCAAAATTTTTTTCTAAATTTAAATAACTATCTTTTTTAGAACTATCCCCTGGTATCCAATTTTCATCCCATCCTTTTTCATTGTCATAATCACCCAAATCTGGTAATTCTCTCATATCAGCTAATCGGTTGAACTGTTCAAAACCTTGAGTAAGAGCAAGTTGATTTTTTTTAAGTTGTGCTATAGTTGAGTTTTGTTGCTCATCAATACTTTTTTTAATGCTATCTTGAGATTTAATAAGTGGTTTAAATGTTTCTTTAAATCCTTCCCGAACATCTTGTTTTTGCCATTTTGTAGTTTTTATGACATCTCTCACCTGTTTAGTCAAAGCATCAGCTTCAATTTTATTTCTTGCAAGTTTTTTGTATTCTTCAATATTCATTTATATATTCTTTAGATAAATGGAATGGGAGGATTGCATCCCCCCAAAACCCCCCCTGCTGCTACGCAAATTATTTAATCATTAGATAAATGGAAATACCAAACTATGATAGTGGTGACAACCCAGATAAAAAATATAAACAGTTATTTCCTTACATGCCATCAGATACATTTCGGATGTTAATCTGTGGAAACAGTGGAAGTGGGAAAACTAATCTTTTGTATCATATGTTAATTAAACCTCTACTGTATTATGATGAAATTTATCTTTACGCGCGTAATTTAGAACAGGATAAGTATCAAAAGCTAATTCAAAAAATGAGGGAGTTGAGTAGTAAACTAGGATATGAAATACTTCATGTGAGTAATGATGAAATAACACCAGTTACAGAAATGGATTATGAAGACAATCAAAAACTTGTGATATTCGATGACTATGTTTGTGATAAAAACCAGAGACAACTGATTGATTATTTTATTCAAGGACGACATAAGAATTGTTCGGTAGTGTATCTCAGTCAATCGTTTTATAAAACTCCAAAGGATATTCGGTTGAATTGTTCTCATTACTGTTTATACGAATTTCCATCATCAAGGGAAGCCAACAGAATATCATCTGAGTTGGGGGTGGGTAAAGAAGATTACCACGCAGCAACTAAAAAACCATATTCATTNACAATCAAAAACTTGTGATATTCGATGACTATGTTTGTGATAAAAACCAGAGACAACTGATTGATTATTTTATTCAAGGACGACATAAGAATTGTTCGGTAGTGTATCTCAGTCAATCGTTTTATAAAACTCCAAAGGATATTCGGTTGAATTGTTCTCATTACTGTTTATACGAATTTCCATCATCAAGGGAAGCCAACAGAATATCATCTGAGTTGGGGGTGGGTAAAGAAGATTACCACGCAGCAACTAAAAAACCATATTCATTTCTATATGTTGATAAACCAAGAAAACGTATTGCAAAAAACTTTACTGGTAATCTAACCTAATAATTAAAATGGGAGTATTTAACGAACAATCTCTTGATCATCCTTTTGCTAAGGGAATTCAGGGTGCTCCAGGAGTTGGATTTAATCTCACTTCAAGTGGGGATTATGATATGGTAAATAAAAAACTAAGAAATGTTGGTGCACCTAGTTCTAATACTGATGCTGCTACAAAAAAATATGTTGATGATAATTCCAATGGATCACCCTCAACATCACAACTAACAGTTGATTCAAACATTGATATGAAAGATACATACCGTATTCAAAATCTTATCACACCACAGGATTCTAAAGATCCAGCAACAAAATATTATGTAGACAACACATTTCTTGACAGAGATGGATCTTACCCAATGAAAGGAAATCTAAATATGGACAACAATCGAATATTTAATCTACCAGCTCCAAATGGTAGTAATCAACCAACTCCATTAGCTTTCACAGATTTGAAGTATCTTCACGTTAATGGAACAAATAAAATGACTAATAATCTAAACATGGATAATAAAAAAATAATTAACCTTAGACTACCAACATCAGACACTGATGCGACAAACAAAAAGTATGTGGATGATGTAATACCTAATACTAGTTCTTTTATAAAAAAAGATGGAAGTGTTGTAATGACTGGTAACTTAAATCTTGCAAACAAAAAAATAGTTAGTCTCGCAACTCCAACAGCAAACACAGATGCATCAACCAAAAAATATGTTGATGATACAGTTGCGGCAAATAAAGTTAATGATAGTTCTTTTTTTAAATCGGATGGATCAAGAAAAATGACTGGTGCCATAGATATGAATAATAACAGAATATTAAATCTTCCAATGCCAAATGGCAATAATCAACCAACAACATTAATTTATTCAAATTCAAATTATCTTAGAATTAATGGAAGAATACCAATGTTTGGTGACTTGAATATGAATTCAAATAAAATAAAAAATGTTGCTTTACCAACAAATAACTCTGATGTAGCAACAAAAAAATATGTTGATGATAATGCTGGAAGTCCAGATTTAAGTGATTACTTGGAAAAAGATGGTACCATCCCTATGACTGGTAACCTAAATCTTAACAACAATAAAATAGTTGGTCTCGCAACTCCAACATCAAATACTGATGCTGCAACCAAAAAGTATGTTGATGATAATGCTGGAAGTCCAGATTTGAGTACTTATTTGAAAAAAGATGGTAGCGTCACTATGACTGGTGAACTTAATGGTGGTGGTAATAAAATAATAAATATTGGTAAACCACTCCAAAATAGTGATGCTGCAACCAAATATTATGTTGATAAACTAGTTCATAGTACAGCAGTTCAACCAAGTCATTACAACAACCAGTTTGCTTATCTTATGTCAAGTGGGTCTCAATGGACTGATGAAATAGATGGAGGAGTTAGTTTTGTTATAAATAGGATAGATAACTTACCACCAAACAAAGGCAACTTTCACGATTATAATCACAAAGTTATTTACATGTATATAACGAAAAATAGCAGTAAATATAAGTATAAGATGGGAATTAATTTTTACAGACTTGCCGCAAATACTGATTACACGTTGTGTTTGGAAATACTCAACACAGATTATAATCTTTGGAATAAGTCTCAAATAAGTGTTGACAAAGGAACTTCAAAAGGATTATCAATTGGAAATGTAGGTATAAGAAAACTATCCCATAGGTATACTGATCCAACAGGGAAAAAACAAACTATGTACTACCATAGAATAATAGTTAATTTCCGGAAGTTGTCATCTGGTAATAAGTTCTTTCTTCACATTCTTGTTGATATTTCAAACAGAGGATATAACATTGTTAAATATCCTCAAGTTTTTCAAGGCGTTTACATAATTGCTTATGGTATTTTGGGTACATTTAGCAATATCGATCCAGATAAAGTTTACGATTATCACACCGCATTTGATATTAAACCGACAGAAGTAGTGTATAATGTTGATATAAATGCAAATCAAAATGAAATTAAAAATATCAAACTTGACCGAAACAGTGATAATAGTGCTGCAACAGTTGCAATGGTAAAAGAATTAACTCCTCACACTAAAAATAATTTGTACAGAAAATATTTTGAAGAAGTTTTTGATTTTACTGATGCAACTAATTACAAATTAAGTAGAGGAGTGTCTGGCGTTGTTTTTAATTATTTAGAGTCTATTACTGGTGATTCTACAAGAGATATTGGTATACCTAATAGAACCATAGATGATATAAGAAAAGAAGGTATAAATGTTAGTAATTTTGTTATTAGTTTTAGTTCTCCTAGTTATATTACGAAATATAGTTTATGTATTATTTTTGATCATTGGAGAAATAGAAATTTTAGCATAACTAAAAAAAATTCAGAAAATGATAATATTTTAGTAAAATTGGATTATAATAAATCAAACAATAAAGTAACTTTAACTGTCAATAAAACAACTCAAAATTTTACCATGCTAAGTACTTTTAATGGAAAAAGGATTGTTGTATGGTTGATAGAAAATTTTAGTGCAAATGTTACAAAAGTTAAAATAAGTAACTACAACTCGATATTAACTATACCAGCCGTTCAACAATCCCATTTTCAACAGTTTAATTTTACAACTGAAGATGGAATATTAAGTAAAATAATGTATTCTCCAAACTTTTACGACACTGACTCTGAGCAATATCATAAAGTAATGCTTCAAGAAAAGTTAAATGGAAGTTATGTAATGTAAATATAAATGAAAAGAAATAGTAGTAAAAAAAAGAGTATTTTTGAATTTAATCATATTGATAAATCTTTATCAGAAGAGCAAATAGAAATTATAAAAGACTTTTATAAAAATTATCACAAAAAATACTGGTGTTATAAAAAAGCTTGTCAAAGTTACAGTTCGTTAGCTAATATTTTTTTTTATTTCTAGTTTATCTCTTATTGCTGTTGGAACTATTACAGGAGGATTGACACTCAATCCTATTATTCTTGGAGTAATCAACGGTGCAGGAATAATTGTGGCTGGAATTACAAAAAAGAAGGATTTTAAAAGGAAGATAGAAACAACAAAACTGGCTTATACCACTTATGAGAAAGTGCTTGTTGAACTACGATCAGCACTCAGAGGAGATGAGTGGAGTAAACAAGAATTTATAAATAGAATTAAAATTTTAGATGAAATGATAATTGATCAATGTCCATCTAGTGTGGATAACTTTGCGGAGAAGTATAAAAATAAATTTAATATATAAATTAAAATACCAAGTTAGTATTTTAATCATATGTATCTAAAGGTATATTTTTGATTATCTTTCTTTGAAGTAGCTGTTTTATAAGATTTTCTTTTACAACAAATATTTGAAATATAAGAAGAATTAATATCTAATTCTATAGCAGCTTTTTTGATTGATATAAATCTTCTTTCTTTTCCATCTTTAATACAGATAGAAATAATTGATCTATTATTACTTTTTTCAACATTTTGCTTATGAGTAAGTAATTGCAGATTTTTTAACCTATTATCAGTCTTCACAGGAAAAATATGATCAACTTCAAAACCATGTGGAATTGGTCCGCGAAAAACCTCATATACAAATCTATGTTGATAGTAAAACTTTGGTTTTTCTAGTTTTTTATTGCAAATAATAAAAAATAAATACCCATTAGAATCTTTATTTTTATTTATAATTTTCTTTCTTTTAAGAGAGTAAATATCTCCATCTTTATTTGCAGCATAATCAGAAAATATTTGATGTTTATAATATTCTACTCCATCTACTATAATTAATCTTTTATTTTCTTTTTTAAATTTGTTATAGTAGCCGTATTTTCTTATAGATGGTAATACCTTAGTAAATACCCACTCGCGAAAGAATTTTGCAGCAGGTAATCTAGATCTAAAAACAAGTTCGTAGAAACCTGCTTCGTTGATATAATAAGTAAAAGTACAACCCCGCGTTTCGCGGGGTTGTACTTTTTTTACTTTATGATTTTCACTTACATGTTTTCTAATAGCATCATCTGTTTTTTTATAACCAAGAATTTGTGCAACTTGTTTAGCTTGAAACCAAACATTACAATCTTCATCTATATATGAGTTAAACTTGATTCCAAGATGTCTATTTATAAAAACTTTTTCTAAAGTGTTTTCCATTTTATTTTATATTTTATTTCTTTAAATAACATTTAATTTTATATTTAAATAAATCTAAATAAAATATAAAATTTTGGTATTGTTGCTAATATCAAAATTAAATGTTTTTCTCAATCCTATGAATAACTTTGTAATGATTATTTAGTGTTGTTTTACTACGAAATGCTTTTGGACAATATTTACAAGGAATACGAACACCAGCCATATACTTATGTATATTTTTGCTGATCTTATCATAATCATTACTTAGAATATATGCATATTCATTATTTTTATATTTATCTTTAGTTTTTAGCTGTGATTCTGATACGCAGTAATTGTTAGTTGGTGATTTGAATTCAATACAGAGACCTTTATATTCCCGGTGATAATCTAGAATCATTAGATCTGGTTGGCCTCGTTGATAACCTTTCTTATATGAATCTAGTCTCTTTTCCTCAGTATCTTGATTCTCTCCCAGTCCAGCTACTAATATAGAATCAGGATAAAAATTTCTAATTAGTTGAACAACTTTGTAATGAAGATCTGTCTCATTACCAATCATTATCATCTTATTCCAAGGACTATCAAATATTTTGTACTGTCCATATTTTCTTATTGAAGGAAGGACTTGTGAAGTTACCCAATGTTTAAACTTCTTAGCTGTTTCTAATTTAGAGGATAACAAAAGGGAGTAGAAACCAGATTCATTTATAAAAATAGGAGGTCTACCTCTTTTGGAATAACCCGTCGAAACGACGGGAAAAGATTTTTGGTCTTCAGAGTCAACATGTTTTCTAATAGACTGGTCAGTATCACTATAACCTAGAATAGTTGAAACATCTTTTCCTATGAACCAAACATTTTGCTGTTTATCAATATATGAAGTCAATTCGATTCCTAAATCTTTATTAGTAAACTTCTTCTCCAACATGTTTGTCATTTTATTTATTTTATTTATTTCTTTAAACAATTAATTCATTTTTTTTTACTCTAATAGTATCTAATCATAAGTATCTAAAGGTATTATACAATTTTGTTTTCCTCAAAGGGGGCCTTGAATTGGGGACCCCCTTTAATCCATCTAAATTTTGTTTTCCTCAAAGGGGGCCGCAATTCACAGCCCCCTTTAATCCATCTAACTTGGACCTAACCCGTCGTTTTGACGGGTCAGCTTTTTTTTTATCTTTAATTAGTTGACCCTGAGATTCACCGGGCCAGTTTTTATATTTTTCTTTAATTACCAACCCCATGTCTCACAGGATTGAACATTTACCTAGCCCGGTGTTTTACCGGGTCAGTTTTTATATTTTTGAAATATAAAAAATTATGGATATAACTTTTTCTCTCTTAAAAGTTTTTCAAGACCTTTAACATCTTCTCCTTCATAAAAATCTTTCCATTGTTTTTTCTGTTCCTCATTCATACTAAGATTATAACCTTCTGCAAAATAAGCACCTTCATCTACTTCTCTTTTATTAAAATAGAATTGTTCCGGAGCTCTAGTTTTTTCAAGTGCACGAACTAATTCTTTTAGTTTTTTTCCTATTACAGAATCTTCAACTTCAATATAAATTTTCATAGAAATATATTCATCAGTATCTAGTTGAATATATTTTTTTAACTCATGAAAATGAATACTGTTTTGGTGTTTTTTCAACTCCTCTATTATTTTTAATAGATCCTTTGGGTCCTCAGGTTCCTCAGGTTCCTCAAGTTCTTTTGAGTAATCTACTTCCTCAGCAATATTAGCTATGAATTCTCTTTCTTTTAGTGATGGATTGTTAAGGCTAATAAATCCAAGTATATCACCTAAAGATCTTTCCATTTCAACCAAGTCATTTAAAACAGATGGATGAAGATTGTACAACACTTCACAGATATGTTCTAGATTTAACAATGAGTGAGGATTGATCTCTATACGCATTTTATTTATATTTTTATTTCTTTAACCCTTTATAACAATTCCACCATTTTTCATAAATCTCAAAAGTTATAGATCTAATCTTAAGTTCAATAAGTTTATACTTTTCACAACCCATCTCCTCCAAAATTTTTTTGGTTAAATAATTAATATTTATCATTCTCTTTCTGAGGTATTGCTTGTTTAGTATTTCCATGATATGATTATCTATTTTTACTAATCTATCATAAAGTTCACATTTTTCTTCATCATTTAGGTTTATTTTTTGAGAAATTTCATTTACCTTTTTCTCATAGTGGTATTTCCTATGATAAATACTCTTTTTTCTATAATGCAACCTATCCAAATCTTTTACATCAAATAATCCTAATACATGACCGTTTGCTGTNTCTTATATGAATCTAGTCTCTTTTCCTCAGTATCTTGATTCTCTCCCAGTCCAGCTACTAATATAGAATCAGGATAAAAATTTCTAATTAGTTGAACAACTTTGTAATGAAGATCTGTCTCATTACCAATCATTATCATCTTATTCCAAGGACTATCAAATATTTTGTACTGTCCATATTTTCTTATTGAAGGAAGGACTTGTGAAGTTACCCAATGTTTAAACTTCTTAGCTGTTTCTAATTTAGAGGATAACAAAAGGGAGTAGAAACCAGATTCATTTATAAAAATAGGAGGTCTACCTCTTTTGGAATAACCCGTCGAAACGACGGGAAAAGATTTTTGGTCTTCAGAGTCAACATGTTTTCTAATAGACTGGTCAGTATCACTATAACCTAGAATAGTTGAAACATCTTTTCCTATGAACCAAACATTTTGCTGTTTATCAATATATGAAGTCAATTCGATTCCTAAATCTTTATTAGTAAACTTCTTCTCCAACATGTTTGTCATTTTATTTATTTTATTTATTTCTTTAAACAATTAATTCATTTTTTTTTACTCTAATAGTATCTAATCATAAGTATCTAAAGGTATTATACAATTTTGTTTTCCTCAAAGGGGGCCTTGAATTGGGGACCCCCTTTAATCCATCTAAATTTTGTTTTCCTCAAAGGGGGCCGCAATTCACAGCCCCCTTTAATCCATCTAACTTGGACCTAACCCGTCGTTTTGACGGGTCAGCTTTTTTTTTATCTTTAATTAGTTGACCCTGAGATTCACCGGGCCAGTTTTTATATTTTTCTTTAATTACCAACCCCATGTCTCACAGGATTGAACATTTACCTAGCCCGGTGTTTTACCGGGTCAGTTTTTATATTTTTGAAATATAAAAAATTATGGATATAACTTTTTCTCTCTTAAAAGTTTTTCAAGACCTTTAACATCTTCTCCTTCATAAAAATCTTTCCATTGTTTTTTCTGTTCCTCATTCATACTAAGATTATAACCTTCTGCAAAATAAGCACCTTCATCTACTTCTCTTTTATTAAAATAGAATTGTTCCGGAGCTCTAGTTTTTTCAAGTGCACGAACTAATTCTTTTAGTTTTTTTCCTATTACAGAATCTTCAACTTCAATATAAATTTTCATAGAAATATATTCATCAGTATCTAGTTGAATATATTTTTTTAACTCATGAAAATGAATACTGTTTTGGTGTTTTTTCAACTCCTCTATTATTTTTAATAGATCCTTTGGGTCCTCAGGTTCCTCAGGTTCCTCAAGTTCTTTTGAGTAATCTACTTCCTCAGCAATATTAGCTATGAATTCTCTTTCTTTTAGTGATGGATTGTTAAGGCTAATAAATCCAAGTATATCACCTAAAGATCTTTCCATTTCAACCAAGTCATTTAAAACAGATGGATGAAGATTGTACAACACTTCACAGATATGTTCTAGATTTAACAATGAGTGAGGATTGATCTCTATACGCATTTTATTTATATTTTTATTTCTTTAACCCTTTATAACAATTCCACCATTTTTCATAAATCTCAAAAGTTATAGATCTAATCTTAAGTTCAATAAGTTTATACTTTTCACAACCCATCTCCTCCAAAATTTTTTTGGTTAAATAATTAATATTTATCATTCTCTTTCTGAGGTATTGCTTGTTTAGTATTTCCATGATATGATTATCTATTTTTACTAATCTATCATAAAGTTCACATTTTTCTTCATCATTTAGGTTTATTTTTTGAGAAATTTCATTTACCTTTTTCTCATAGTGGTATTTCCTATGATAAATACTCTTTTTTCTATAATGCAACCTATCCAAATCTTTTACATCAAATAATCCTAATACATGACCGTTTGCTGTACCACATTCATCACAGATTTTGTACCCAAAATCTATTGTAAAAAATTCAGTATTTTTACAATTTGAACATTGTGCTTTTTTACTAACTTTCTGAATAGGTTTTTTATAATTATGAAGTATAGCTAAATATTTTTTTATTTCTTCTTCTGTATAAGACATTTATTATTTATACTTTATTTACTTTTAAATAATTTTTATCTAAAAGCTAAAGTATGCACTTTATCCTCTAAAACAATGCGTTTATCATCTTCATTACTTAACGCTATTTTGTTAACTTCTTTAGAATATATATCATGTTTTTCACTTCTCATTATTTTCATACTTCTCATTTCTTTCTCACCTGAAAATAGACATTTAACATAATCATCAAAATCTAATTTCTTTTTTATAATATTTTTCTTTACTCCTTTACACTTTTTTACTTCCCTATCCTCCTCAATTTTAAAACTATAAAGTTTGGGACGCAATCCAACAAAATGTGTTATCTGTTTTCCTGCTACTTCATCTTTAAACACCCCAATCACTTTTTTATTTACTCCTGTAATTATCCTTGAAGGATGGATGAGAGGATAATCAGAAGTATCAAACTTATCTCTTACATCAGGACATATATCAAGATAAAAATCTTTTGTTTTAATCTCATACATTAGACTATCCGTATCTGTAAACAATAATTCTGCTTTATTTTTATATTTCTTTTTCATGTATGTGTAATGAAAATTAAACATTAGTGTTTTTGATAAATCTAGAATTGCTTGACCAACATATACTGGTTTNTCACAGATTTTGTACCCAAAATCTATTGTAAAAAATTCAGTATTTTTACAATTTGAACATTGTGCTTTTTTACTAACTTTCTGAATAGGTTTTTTATAATTATGAAGTATAGCTAAATATTTTTTTATTTCTTCTTCTGTATAAGACATTTATTATTTATACTTTATTTACTTTTAAATAATTTTTATCTAAAAGCTAAAGTATGCACTTTATCCTCTAAAACAATGCGTTTATCATCTTCATTACTTAACGCTATTTTGTTAACTTCTTTAGAATATATATCATGTTTTTCACTTCTCATTATTTTCATACTTCTCATTTCTTTCTCACCTGAAAATAGACATTTAACATAATCATCAAAATCTAATTTCTTTTTTATAATATTTTTCTTTACTCCTTTACACTTTTTTACTTCCCTATCCTCCTCAATTTTAAAACTATAAAGTTTGGGACGCAATCCAACAAAATGTGTTATCTGTTTTCCTGCTACTTCATCTTTAAACACCCCAATCACTTTTTTATTTACTCCTGTAATTATCCTTGAAGGATGGATGAGAGGATAATCAGAAGTATCAAACTTATCTCTTACATCAGGACATATATCAAGATAAAAATCTTTTGTTTTAATCTCATACATTAGACTATCCGTATCTGTAAACAATAATTCTGCTTTATTTTTATATTTCTTTTTCATGTATGTGTAATGAAAATTAAACATTAGTGTTTTTGATAAATCTAGAATTGCTTGACCAACATATACTGGTTTGTTAAAATAAACCTCCGTCTTTAGCATATGAATAGCAATAAGATTGCGATCAAATATTGTACATCTATCAAAGTTGGGTTTACTTGTTAGCTTGACAGCTTTTTTACGATTATCAATAAGATGTATATTTTGTCTTTTCCTTATATTTTCTATTGTTTTTCCAAAGACGGAGTTATTCATTAATTTGAAAAAGTCTTTCTCAAAATTGTTGGCTGCTGTCTTTCTAAGTTCTGTGTTTTTTCGGATATATGGTTCCATCCAAGGAGTCTGATAAAATGAAATTCCTCGATGAACAGCTGTTATTTTCATACCCAACTCAAGACATTGTCTAAGAGTTCGATAATGCACAACATAATTCTTTCGTGGTTTAAAATGACTAATTAACTTTTCAACACCATTAACAATCATCTTCTCAGGTGCTAGAGGATAGCCATTATGTGTTTCCCATAGGTGAGGAGGATACTCTAAATCAACTTCAAATATATAACCTTTTTTCCCCTTATTAAACATACTATGATTTGCTTTCTCTAGTATTTCATCTACCTTTTCTAATGTTATATCTTTCATCCATTTAAATCCATGTGTTGGGAGTTGTTGTGACATTGCCCAACCGTAAAGATTGTTTGCATCTTAATATTGAATAAATGTTGACTCCTTTCCAGGATTGTAATCTTTCATATATTTGTTATTCGCTTCCGCATATCTTTTTGATATGTGTGTTATACCACCACGAATACCTTGCTCAAACATCATTAACATATCATAATCATGAAGTAACTGTAATTGCTGTCCTGTTTCTTTTAGACATGCATCCCAAGCTAGACCTGGGGATGTGTAATAGTGAACTGGATCTAATTTGTAATGTTTGAGACAAGTTTTTCTAAAGTTTTCAAATACATCTGCTAGAAGTAATACATCAGATTTTAGGTAAAGATTGTGATAATCTCTTATTGATTTACATTCAAATGTATTCCAGACTTTAATTGCATGTTGGTAATCATCATCACTAATATCTTCGTCATAAAGTTGGGAGTAGAATTCCTTTTTGGGTGGTAATTGTGTTTCTGATAATTTATCAAGTGATGAAACATAATCATAAGGATAAACTCCCTTACGAGTTAGTAATTCTACATTTTTCTTGAATATATGATTTGTATTATGAAAGTCATCTGCTGATAAATTTGAAACAAGATTGGCAAGTGATGTTTGAAGAAACTTGAATGAATCTAAAAATCGTATTTCAAAATTTATTGGGCACATTTTTCCAAGTTTTAAGCAATAATACTCACCAACTTTAATACTTTTAGAAAAAGAAATATATTTTTCTTCTGTTGATGGAATACAACTTAAATCTCCTTCTAATCTAGCAAGTTGTTTTATAAACAAATGAGCATCATATCCTTGAAGATTGTGAAATATAACTGGTAATACTTTTGGTTTTTTACACATAAGATTACATTTGTTATGTGCTGCTCCGCGATACTGACCTGTAAAATGACAATGATCTCTAACTTTATCCTCTTTTAATTCTTGGTTACAAATATGACAGTTAACTGCTTTCTCAAATGATTTTTGTTCTTCCTTATTTAGTTTAAGAGGTTTTGGTTTTTGATAAAAATCATTATAAATTCCTTTAGTAACTTCCTCAAGTTTTTCCACAAATACTTTTGATATATCCTCATCTTCAGAGGTTTTTGTATAAATAATTGGTTTAATTTTTTTATCTACTACTCCCCTTACATAAAAACAAAATCCTGATGGTTCATGTTTCTGATAATTATAATTATAAGATTCTTTTGGATTAGGACTGCAACTATTCATTGGTTTAGTAAAACATTCAAAATCTGCATAAACTACAAAAGGAACAGGAAGTTTTTTGTGATAATTTTTAAAGTATAACATTGTGTTTGGTTCAGGCATTGTTATAAGTGCTGTTTGATTGTTAGAACAATATTTAATATGTTTTTCTAATAATTCTTCTTTAGTGTAATGACTAAAACATCTCTTACAAATAAATATTTCACCATTATGACTTGTAGTTTTTTGAGATCTTATCAACCTATGAAAATTTTTAATAAGAGTATAATGTGAGGCACCATCTTCTTCATACAAAAATAAATCAATAGTATTTTTACAATCTCTCTTTGCCTCTCTCAAAGGATAAATAATCATTTTATCATCATTAGAAAAAACATTTATTCCTGGAAGTTCTGGATTAAGTTTCTCAAATTGAGTGATATTATTTACTTTCATTGGAAAAGTAATTCCTTTAGTGTTAAGTGAAAACTCATACTTCTTTAAATCATTTATTCTTTCCTCATCTCTCTCTCTTGGATGAAGATATCTAAGTATACACCAAAGAAAGCATTTATCATCTTTATTTTTAATGTTAACAATTGCTTTTTTATTTTTTATCCAACTTGGAAGATCAATATAAGACGATCCTTTATTTGGGTTATACTCAACAGTATGAATTTCTAATTTTACCACTTCTTTAAAAACCCAATTACTTCCTTTTTCTGAATACGCTTCCATTTGTCCTAAAATAGTTTCTTTACTAATATCTATTAAACGTTGAACATTATCTGATTTTAGATTATTAAATGTTGGTGAATTAAAATAAGCCTTATCTTCTTTTATATCTATAATACCTTGTGTTTTTTCTATTTCTTGTTTTTCCATTAAGCAAACTAAAACTAACTTTAATTTTATATTTCTATGATAAGTAAAAAAATCAACTAAAGTTTCATTTATATTTTCAAAAAATTCTTCCGGTTTAAAACCAAAAACTCCTTCAATTATGTATTTATTTGCAAAACCTGAAAGAGATGATTTTTCTTTTACAAGTCCTTGGTCATATTCTCTCATTGCACGTTCAAGAGCTTCTCTTAAATAGAGTGGAGTATCTTTGGGTATTTCTTTATTTTTTATACATTCCGCAAAATACTCATCAAATGTTTTTATCTTTTTCTTTTTAGTTGTATCTTTCTTTTTCTTATAATCCTTCTTTATATCTACTCCTTTTTTTACTTTTTCATTAAGCTTATCTAGTTTTCTTATATCTCTAATTATTTTTTCTTTTTCACTTAATTGTTTATAGTTTTTCTTTATTTCTTTTTTCTTCTCGTTTAATATATATCTTAATTGATCCAACGATAAACTCTTATATTCATTATCTGTTATAAAGGGTTGAGAACCCTGAAAACCGTTATCAAACTGGTTAGACATGACGTCTTCTAATAACTGATTATATTAGAAGACATAAATTCTTAATTTATAATTAATCAATATGGTAATCTATTCATCATCACTATCACTATCACTTTCAGAAATCCAATTAATAATAGGTTCTTCTTTTTTNTCTTTTTCACTTAATTGTTTATAGTTTTTCTTTATTTCTTTTTTCTTCTCGTTTAATATATATCTTAATTGATCCAAAGATAAACTCTTATATTCATTATCTGTTATAAAGGGTGCACTACCCCACGAACCATTTGCTTGGTTAGACATGACGTCTTATAATCTTATAATTAGATTATAAGACTTTAAGCCTTTTTTTAATCACTTTCACTTTCACTTTCACTAATACCTTCAAAATCACTTAATTCACTTAAACTATCAATTTCTCTATATTCCCCAACATATTCTTCAAAAAGATCATCTTCAAAATCTTCTTCATTTTTAATGTTGACATTATTAGTAAAGATGATAAAATTCTCAAAAAAATCTTGAAATTCATCATCTGAAAAAAAGTCAGCATAAAAAGTGTTTCCCATATGAAAATATAGGTCAACTCTTAGATCAATTATTTTGTAAACAGCACTTAATTTAAACTTTAATTTACTAATATTTTGAAGTTTACCCATTTTCTGAGCCTCCAAAACATTTTTAAAATATTCAATAAGTGCTCTTGCTCTTGAAGACCAAAAAACTTTTTCAAAAGAATCAGTATTATCTCCAAGAATTTTCATAAACTCACCACACTTCCTATTAATCCCTGTTATGTAAAGCCATTCATTTTTGAAGTCTTTTGCATATTCAGGGATTTTATTATTAGAAGTATTGGAATTTTTAAAATCTGAAAATTGCGCCAGAAACAAATTAGGGTGCGTCACAGATACCATTTTACTAACTACTTTCATAATGTGTGGTAGATTTGTTGGTTCTTTGTGTACCGTTGCAGAAGGCCAGTGTTTGAGGCATTACGTTGTTTTGTTTTTCTGTGGCTTAAGGAAATTACCCTTTTTTTATAAAATATGATTGTCATAGCAAGTATGTTTTAGTGAACGTTTGCCACGTTGCTGTTAACCTTTAAGCTCGGATAAACTAACAGGGATCGGCATGAAAAATTTTCAGATAATGAAGCCGAAAAAGAAAGGTCAACAGCTAAGTAGAAACTATAGCCATGGAATTCAATAGGAACACAATTTATAATAACGTGAACAATGATTTGATGCTTAATGTATTAATCCTCAAAGTATATGAAACTTTGTTGTTGTTTTGGTCGGACGACCATCGCGTAGAATGCCCGGTCACATCCGGGAATTTAACAGGCTAGAGCTGCATTCGAGCCACGATTTGGTCTTCAAAATATGGCGGAATAATAAGACTGAAGCGACTTTCGGAGTTTTTTTGTCTCTGATTGTGAGTTACTCGTAACCAAATCTCAATGGGTACCACCGGAATATTTTTATCAAGAAACATCAAATTCAAGATCT